GATCACTTCCGAAAGCTGCGTTCGGTGCGCCGTAGCTTCATAGGAGCTATGACATTTAATTTTGACATGACCATATGGCAATGTCGCATATTTTTCCATTGCACGAGGCTTATTTCACAATATTACTATTTGATTTTGGAGGAAAACTATCAAAAGAATTATATTTTTGAAGGTATGTTGATAAAAATACTTATTTGAACGTTTGAATACTTTCATTTATATATGTAAATGAACGTGATAGTCTGTTTTTATATTAAAAATACATTATAAAAATTCGAATTCTATGTCCTCTAGGTGTATATTTTGTTGTGTGTTCGTGGCGATCATTTGGTCAAATCAAGTCAAAATTAAAGGAGCCGTTCATATTATGTTTTTCAAAAAAGCAGTGAATTGTGAACTCTGTGTAACTGTACCAAACTTGCTAGCTATGTGTGAACTAGCTATATTTTATACTTTTTAATATACTAGCAAGGTTGTGATCTTGCTAGCTGGGCAATCGTCGACGGTTGGCAATAATAAAGTTGTATCACTTGTATACTGATTCAGTCAAAAGATCAAGCCAACAAGGTATTGTATATCAAATTTTACAAATATGTAGGTTGTATGTAAATTAGAAAATTGTCAATAAAAATAGTTATATATTATATATATTTATTATATTACAGTAAAATGATTATTGATATTGTTATTACTTAATTATGGGAATATGATATGCAGTAATTAAGCCGTGTATAAAAGAACCAGTGAATTTTGACTTCAGGCTGAAGTGGTTCGTATATTGTCTTACTTCACACTATACTTTTTTATATTCAACACATTGTATTTTGGGTGCTCAATTGCCCAAATTTCAGGCTAGTGGTTCTTAACCTACTAGTTCTTTTATGTGAGGGCAAGGCTTTACTGTAATGTCTGTATATCAAATCAATAGACCTTATGCATAATGACGTCTTAAGGCTTGATGGCCAGGAAAATTTTGATAGTGGCCATTTTGGATTGTTTAATTTTCCTGGGCGATTACTACTAAAGTCCTGGGCAAACTAGGAAACGTTGTTGCGGACGAACAGGCATGGACGAACAGGGTGGGCGAACAGGGAAACGTCTGAGGAAACATCGAGAATCACAAATGTTTCTGCAACGTTTCCTAGTTTGCCCATGCGTAGCTTAAGACCAGCATTCCTCGCAGGCATCAAGCCTTGTGACATCATTATGCATAAGGTCAAATGAGCAGTATGATGTCCAAATTGTAACACACAATTGTACACGAATGAAAAATTATTTGACTTTTTTCCATAATGCTCACAATTTCTTTCTTATTATATAGTTTTACAGTTCTGACTGAGTACAATCTTAATCATTTATAAAAAAAATGGTGTCATATGAAGCTGACATATTAAACAATTGCAATCTTAATCATTTACACAATGAATGGTGTCATATGAAGCTGACGTATTAAACAAAAATGTCAACAAAATAGATTTTGTTTCCCCATCGGCAGATTGTTCAGTTGTTCTGCAGTAGTGGTAGCTTTGAAAGTACCATTAAAATGATAATTGGGGCAAAAACTGACTTACTGGTAGTATTTCTATGTATGAAATTGTTATTAAATTCTGCATATCAAATGATTCATTTAAGTATTAATTATTATCATTTGTTATATATGATATTGTACAGTATTCAGTGGCAAGCTAGCCATGGCAACTGGTTATGATATGCCAAGAAACCTGCATCAATTTGAATAATGCAAATCATTAAAAACTTGCATAGCATGACCTGTAGACTTTCACAAAGTCCTTCATCTTTGTTTAGAACGAAGGAATTTTCAAGGAAGTAATTTCTTTCTTGAAGAGTAGGGAATTTGTGGAAGTCAATACAATTGGAATATTTAGCTGAGCTTCGATTTTGTGCAAAGTGTTTTCATATTCATAGAACAAAAAAAGTTCCTTGGATAACAAGTGTCATAAAGAATCTTATGAACACAAGGGACAGATTAAAAAGAAAATCCATTATCACAAACCTAGAGATAGACTGGTTAAATTATAAAACAGCAAGAAACAAAGTTAATATTCAGCTAAAAAATGCCAAAAAAGATTACTACTCCACTAAGATTGCTGGTCAAAAACACAACCCCAAAGAGGCGTGGAAAACTATAAACAATATATTAGGTAGGCAAAGCAAACCAACAGTTGTAAACGAGTTAAAAGTAGGTGAAAATATCTTGACTAATACCCAAGATATTGCTGAGGGGTTTAACGATTACTTTTCAAATATTGGCCCTGATCTTGCTAGCAAAATTGATTCTACAAATTTCAACTATGAAACATATGTTGAGAATGCTAAATCAGAATTCGCTGCGTTCCAGCAAGTCACTGTCCAGAATGTCTACCAACTCTTACATTGTCTTTCTAGCAATAAAGCTACTGGAGTTGATAAGATTTCATGCAAAATTATTAAAATAGCTGCACCTGTCATTTCAGATTCCCTAACATACATATTCAATCAAGCTATTACTCTATCCATTTTCCCTGATGAATGGAAAACAGCTAGAGTAATACCTCTTTATAAGAATGGCCAACGAAACATGCCAGGAAATTACAGGCCAATTTCAGTTTTGCCAACCATTAGTAAAATTATGGAACGAATTTTATATGATCAACTATATGATTATTTAACTAAATTTGGGCATCTAAGTGATTGTCAATTTGGTTTTCGAAAATTTCACTCTACAACTACAGCATTACTGGACTGTACAAACGAGTGGTATATGAATCTAGACAGGAAAAAATTTAATCTGGTAATCTTAATTGACCTAAAGAAAGCATTTGATACTGTTGACCATCAAATTTTATTGAAAAAACTAGAGTTATATGGAGTAAAAGGGCAAGCCCTATCTTTTGTCCAATCGTATATCTCCAATAGAAAGCAGAAATGCCAAATTCAAAACTCTCTCTCATCAGAGAAACTGATCAAATGTGGAGTACCACAAGGCTCTATTTTAGGGCCACTATTTTTCCTACTATATATTAATGATTTGCCTCAATGTCTATATAAAACAAAACCTCGGCTGTTTGCTGACGATACGAACCTGACAGCTTCTGGAGACTCTATTACTGATCTTGAGGCTGCAGTGAATTCTGATTTAGAAAATCTTAGAAAATGGCTAATTGCCAATAAACTTAGCCTAAATGTAGCTAAGACAGAGTTTATGTTAATTGGCTCTAAACACATGATTAGAAGTATTTCAGATCTACAACTAAACGTTAAAATTGAAAACGAATCAGTTAAGCAAGTTCATGAATCCATAACCCTTGGGGTGACAATTGACCAGCATTTATCTTGGAAAAGTAACACTGAGAATATTTGCAAGAAAATAACATCCGGTATATCTGCTCTTAGACGACTGAAAGAATTTGCTGATAAGCAAGCCCTTCTTTCTGTGTATAATGCTATTGTTCGCCCATACTTCGATTACTGCTGTGAAGTATGGGATGTGTTTGGTGAGACGCAATCAAAAAGACTCCAAAAACTCCAAAATAGAGCTGCTCGAATCATTATGAATATGAGCAATGACACAGATCATTCTGTTGCTCTGCAAGCATTGGGTTGGAAGACACTTAAAACAGAAAGAAAGAAAGGGAAAGCAAAAATAATGTACACATTATTAAATAAAATGGGTCCCAAGTCACTCTCTAATCTTTTCACATATAAAGGTGAGAAAACAAAGTATCACCTCCGAGATATTTCAAGTGGTCTTTGTCTACCACAACCGCGTACTAATAATATGAAAAAAAGTTTCATGTATGACGGAGCACACCTATGGAATTCAATTCCAAAAGAAATTAGAGAGAGCAAATCCCTTTCTGCCTGTCGGAAAAAAATCGTTACTCACATTGACTGATTGATTAATGATTTGTAAATATATCTAAATTACTTTAACTTATTTAATACTATATATCTTATATAATTTTGTAAATAACTTTTTAGTGTATCTGTATAGTTTGCACACGCCCCCCGTGGAAATCAGCTTCGGTTGACGGGGTCAGCGTGTTTAAATAAAGTTTTTCTATCTTCTCTTCTATCTATTCAGATTGCACTTTTTCTACCACCTGAACAGGTGTCTTAGGGGTGCTTTTCGTGTTTATGTGATGGAAGGGGGGGGGCACCTGAACAGGTGTCTTAGGGGTGCTTTTCGTGTTTATGTGATGGAAGG